TATGCGTTTTTCAATGATTTAAAAAAAAAAAAAAAAAAAGACAACCCTACCTATTCCTAGCTGATATGCTATACAATATCCAAAAATCAACTACTGATGCACCCTAAAACTGGCAACAAAAAAGGCCTCTAATTAAAACATAGAAATCAACTAAGCTTATATTCCCAATTACACCACTTCTTCAAAATTCCCCTCAAAATCCATATTATCAAAAAATTCAGGCTGGTAGAAATCGGGCTTATCTAATCAGACTTCCCTGACTGGCAGAGAAGGTAGGGAGGAGGATAACCTGTATGTGGAAGTGTAAAAGGTCAAGGCTGGAAATGAGATATCTCACATTTTAAATAGCCACTGCTTCTATGGCTAGGCAGCTAACCAAAAAAAAAAAAAAAATCCAAAATGGTGCCAAAAGTATGTCTCCTCATATTCCTGCTAGGATTTCCAACTGACAGAATTACTAAATGTAAATATGTCCCTAGCTTGGATTTTTTTTTTCTTTTTTGCCACAGAGCATGAGTGTTCATCGGAGAGAGACAGAGAAGTAGAGAGAAAGTGAGAACTCACCCCTCAGAGAGGATGGTCACTCTGCAATCCCTTCTCCTTCATTCTCCTCTTAAGATTTTTGGGCATGCACACACATGCTCCTTGGCATAATGTTCAAGCTGCTGGGCATGAGGCAGGAACTATGATTGGCCATATGGGTATCCAGCACCTTAACCACTATGCTACTTGCTGGTCCGTCATGACAATTTTTAAAAAGAACTTAAAAATTATCAAGTTTTTTCAGAAAAGGCCTAACTCACGTTGTAAAAGAAAAAAAAAAAAAAGATTTTTGTGAAAATTTCCTTGGTATCACCTTCACTGAATTCTATAGCATTTCTGTTCCACAACTTAAGTTCCCATGCTTTCCATTTCTATATGTAAACACCTGCTGTCTATCATGAGTGGTTACTCACTACAGAGAGGAAGAGAGTTCCTCTCCAGGTTCTATCTATTGGGATAGTAAAACAACCTGACTATGAAAATGTATCTTCAACATTATGTCACAGGCCTAGCCATGGTACACTGCTAGGGAGGCTGGAATCCATATGGGAGGTCTGGGTTCGGTTTCTGGATCACTTTGAACATACCCAGCATGGCTGAACACACCTGCAACCCTGGCTGACTGGGAGGTGAAGGATCACCACACAGGAAGGCCCTGTCAAAAAAAATGCCCGTCTGCTCTCTTCTCTCATAAAGGAGAAAAAAAATAATCAAGTCTCAGATTCCATTACAGCAAACCCATGAGCTACAACTAGCATTCTCTGCAGAATGGTCCAAACGACCTCTCTTAGTTCTTAGTTTGGCCCTTTCCCACATGTGCCAATCCAGCTATTGGCTATTCCTCAAATATGTTCCCTACTTTCTCATCTCTCCTCCCCACTGTTCCCTCCACTTAGAACATTATGCCCTGCCATTTTCTACTTATCAAAATCCTACTGGTCCTTGAAGGACCACTGAAAATACCATCACCTCCACCATACTCTTCTTGATTCCCATAACTGGATGTCTCAGAAACATTTAGCCTAAAACTAGCCCATAGAAGGAGCTTGATAAACCATTGGTTTTAACAGGCAAGGTGGAAAAGAGTACCTGTGCTTTGGGCTGGTCAGTTTGTTTAAGACTCTTACTCTTCTCAATCTTGCAGAGCTGGGCCTTGGCCTTTTTTAGGAGGCTGGCAACCCTCTTGTCAGTCATTGGAAGCTTGTCTGCCTGAGCCAACATGGAGCCTATGGAGGAAGTGGAATGTTTAACAGTGCTAGATGAAGAAGTGGAAAGGCAGAGGGTTTTCTCCTTCTCCAGGGATGGGGCAGTTGGGCCGAGGTCCAAGTTGTTTTTTTCCAGATTTCCTCTCCCTTTCTTTATAATTATTTTGGTTTTGACAGCTGTTGTATCCCCAAGAGTCACAGAAGCAATATCAGTCCCAGAATCAAGTGATGAAGACTTCTTCCGCCCTGTCGCTTTTTTGGCAGAAGATGAAGTGGCAACGTCTTCACCAACAACCTTCTCTTTGGAAACCCTACCCACAGGATACAAAGCAGAACTACTCTGAATTTCTGATCCCTTTTTCCTTTTCTCTTTCCTTGACTCCCGCTTATTCTCTTTTTCTCTCTCCCGGTCTCTCTCTCTACTCTTGTCCTTTTCCACGCTCTTGTCAGCATCTCGATCTTTGGACAGCTCCTCAGGGGCCTTTTCTTTGTTTCTCCCTCTTTCAGTCTGCGAGCCTGGGGTAAACCAAGGGAAGAGAGGAGTAGGGCTACTTGATGGAAATGGCTCTGCTGGAGCACTAGTCTGCTTCCTTGGTCTCTGATTTTTCTCTGCAGATTCCCCAGACTGAGTCAGGGAATGAGAAGAAAGAGTAAAAGTTGGGTTTAAGGCACTAGTGGCAAGAGGATTAACAGAAATGCTTAACGAGGAAGAGACAGAAGATGGGGAGGTGAGAGGTGATAGCTCAGAAGTACTAAGCCTTCCACTTCTTGTCCTCATGGAGTGAGAAGGAGATCTTGGTTCAGATCGAATAGGACTGAACACTTTTCGTTTCCTTTTCCTATTGGATACTCCTGAAGAAGATGTTCCAGCAGAAGTTCGATTACTAGGCAAAGTTACAGACTCAAATATTCTAGAGTGAGCCTCACTTGGAGTAAATCTTGGAGCTCTCAGAAGAGGGCTCCTTTTGTGCATATCAAACCTTGTTCCAGAATGGAGTGGTGAAAACAATCGGGCTGAAGCAGCAGTACCAGATGTAGAAAAGCCAGGCGCGAAGCCAACGTCCTCAGGAGTTAGTGGAGGGGGTCGGAAGTTATCAAATATTGGTTTGCGAATAAGACCTTCTTTGGCATACTTGGCTGAGGAAAAGTATTGTGGCTCTGACCTAGAATGTTTTAAAGAAGTCCACCTAAACGTCGGTTCTCGCAAAATAGATTTTCGCTTCCCTTGCATGGGAGCAGCAGATGCAGGCAAAAACGGTGATGCTAAGGGGATTGTTGGAGGCATGAGCCACGGTGTGTGGTCGGAGATACTGGAGGCAGACTGCAGCGGTGGGGGTGGAGTAAGCAGAGGTGGAGGAGGAGAGGAGGAGGTCTGCTGCTGGGGGGCACTTGGTAGAGTTGATAATTTTTTAGTTGTTCTAGATCCAAAACTTCGCTCCGACACGGAATACCTTCTGCTTCTCCTATCATTACTCTCCTTTTCCGGGGACTGGGAAATAGGCAGTGGAGTATGAACTTCAGGGGTCTCGCTCCGCTCTTCAGGAAGTACCTGAATCTCCTCAGAGGCCTGAGAATCTGTGGAGGTATCAACACTGGGGCTACTAGATCGGGAGGAGTCTGAAGACATTTGAGAGGAGTGCTGAGAAGCTGCGCTTGATTTTTCGGAAGATCCACAGGATGTGGCACTGAATCTACTGTTGGGGGTAGACTCGAGTCGGGCAATTTTAATTGGAGGGTCATAATCCTCATCTTCTATAAACCGCCGAGGGGTTTTAATGATCCGCGAGGAGATAGCACTGACGACAGGCATGATGAACTGTCGGATATTTTTGACCTGTGTCTTCACCTTTCTTCCCTGCAGCTGAGCTGCTTCTTTTTCCATTTTCTTTTGAGCCCCCTTTTTTGCCCTCTGCAAGAGTTGCTTAGCAATTGTTGCATCTGTCCTTTTCGAAGAAGGAATAATCCTGACGGGCTTAATCCTTCGAGGGCTTTGTCTGACAACTGTCTTATCTTCTTTTGTGAGTGGAGGTGTTCCTTCCTTGTCTTTCCGGACCTTCTGGGGCTTTTCCAGTTCGGAATTAATGAGGAGACCAGAAGGGGTCTTAATTCGTTCTGTTGATGGGGGCCTTCCTCGCCGTCGCACAATCTGTACCCCTTTTCTTCCTATTTGAAGTTTCCCTGTCTTAAACTTAGACTTGAGAGGAGAGAGTTTACCTGCTCTTAATTTTTTAATCTTTGTAGCCTGCTGAAAGGTAGCAGAAGGTGTCCGTTTAATTTTTTTCAGGCTATCTTCTTTATTTCCCTTTGGTAACTCTGAAATGTCCTTTCCATGTGTTATTTTGATTTTTACTCCAGGGAAGGTGGGAGGTCTTCCTCTCTTCTTTTCTATACTTTTAGAATCTTTCTTCTTGATCTTATCTCCAGATTTGGTCTCTGATTTATTTAGAGGGGAAAACACAGATGGATCTGAGAGGATAGCTGAATTTCGGTCAGAGCCACTTCTAGGTCTCCCACGAGGTTTTCGAGGACTAGTTTTAACTGTGTATAGAAATTAAACAATGAAGAGCATATATTTAGCTGTGTAGTTCAGGTCTTAACTAAGCTGAATATAATTTAGCACAGGCCATTTTGTACTGAACTCAACTTGGCTCTAACGAGTCAGTAAAACATCTTAATTGTACTTAGTTTCTGTTCATCAAAATTTGCCTCAAAGAAATCAAGTAAATAACATTCCACCTGAAAGGATATTTAATTAACTTTCTTCATATAAAAATCAAGATAATAGGAGACTTTCAATTGGACAATTAATCTACAAAACTGATTCCCTATAACTTTAATTAGCAAGGAGGGTCCCCCACCTTTATTTTTCTGAATCGTTTGAAGAATATATATCTGTACTACCTTTCACAGCCTAGCTACTAACATTTAAGAACATGCTTCTAAGTCATCCCATCCTCACGATTCAAAATTCTGGCTACGAGTAAGTGAACAATGCGCTCTGGAATGAACAGAGCAAGTCCACCGGAAAAGCCTCCTGAGCAGCTCGGCATCCTAAACTTCCAAGCTGTTTGCAAAGTAAACTACGGAAGTTTTACTGAATAGAAATATATTCGTTTATGAGATGGCAAAATGAAACCACTGAACTCAGGGGTGTGTGCTCTAATAGCAAAAGGACATAATGATGTGTCCCTTAATCGACTGCTCTACCCACAGGTTCCTGAACTGGTCAGTCCCCAGCTACGAAAGATTTAACCCTAACTGACGTCAAAAGCAAACCCACAATTTGTTAAATGAGATTTCTTCTACTATAAATGAAAGGAATTTGCCAACTTATTAATCAGCTGAATTGGCCACTTATCAAGAGATTTAGGGAAAAAAGACGTTTCTAAAATACTTTGTATAACTCTGTATTTTAAAAATGCATTAAGAACTATCTACTTATCATAGCTTCCCTTCCTTCTTGATTTTTCAATATTTTATATGACAATGTTCTTCTGAGACATTTTAAAACCTCCCGTAATATGTACCAAAAGAGATTTATGATGAATATTTTTACTATATTATGGAACCACTTTCTAACAGAACAGAAATCAACAAACGTCTGATTGTGGCGCTTTCTAAATATACATGCATTCCTCACCAATGAACTTAGGAGACTTCCCTTAATAGATTAAGAAAACATAAAAACCCAGTCTCAGTATGTATTATTACAATAAAAGTAATGAACTAGGAGAATGAAGCAATACAGATAGCTAAAAAATAGAACATAACAAAACAAAAACAAGCTTACATTCGAAGTAGACTGATAGCCAAGCAAACACATAAGAGGAAACCATCACGAAAGAGTCAGCCAAATAAACCTTGCCGAAATGTACATCACAAGGTTCCTTAACATTGTGACACACACTTGATCCCGGCCACTCAGGACTTTATCTTCTCAAGACCTCTTCCACCCTACTTTTAAAAGTTTTTTGTAGACAAGTAGAAAAAGAAGAATAGAGAAGAGTCCCAGAACTGCTGCTAACTTCTCTACTCCACAACACGTTCAATGAACTCACCAAACTGGTTACAAATAACTGTTCACCATGTCTTTTCTGGGCCTCATTTTGTCATCTCTAAACGAAGGGTTAAACCAGATGATCCCTAAAATCCCTTTCTGATATGGAGTTTTAAGATTTCACCACATCTTTAAGAGCACTGCTACTGTCTAAATAGCAGGCACTGGAACAATAAGGGCTAGTTTCTCCCAAACAACGGCAATGTCATCACCATTTGGGGGTTGGGGGGAGTCAAGCTGAGGATTTGAATTAAATTATTACATAACATACAATGACTCTTAAATGAGACCCAAATGCTAGCAAACATCACAGACTAAGTCAATGCCAGAGAGCCAAAGCAGCTAACAGTATCACCACTCACTAGGTTGTTTATCCACACACATCAGAGAAAGCCATACATGAAGTCAGAATAGCAACAGCACAGAGGGGGGATGCATTTTCCATCGGAAGACCTACAGCTCCCTCCTGTATAGAACTAAATTCTGCAAGTCGTTAGATGCTATTTTCACTGAGGATCTCCTCTTAGGAAACTGTTTGTAAGTCTAGAATTTCAAAATATTCTAGATATTTTGTCAGTGAGAAAAATGACAAATATAGTTAATAAACAGAAACACTCCATATCATTTTTATTTTCTTTATTTTAACATAGCCTTTCAAGGATGAGGTAAAATAGGTTCATAGAGTGCCAATATTTTGTTCTGAGTTCTTTGACAAGTACATCGAATTTCACCTGTAAAAAATAATGGCCACATTATTCCAAAGGCCTATCTACTACTATATAATACAAAATGTGCAAATCTGAGGATGGTCTTAGCAGGTTGCCTAGAGCTTGCCTACCAGACTTCCCAGTCACTCTGTGGAAACCTACCTCCCTTGTCCCTATGGTTTCCAGAGAGCAGCGCACGAACTGACACACCAGACGTGGCCTGACGGCGAAGAGCTCCATAGAGCAATCTGCTTCCCAAGCCACTTCCTACCCTCACTATCGAGATTACCCTTTACATGCACAGGCGGCCAGGGGAAGTCCCCATCTCCTAACACACAGAACCGAAAGGCACCACGCGCTGAGTTGGCCATTACCTGAAGGAGACCGTGTGGGACTTCGCACTCTGACTTCTTCATCTGAGCCAAAACCTAAGAACTGCTCATCCTACAACAAAGGAAAATTATTTTAAAATCAGAAGCAAAAACATGAATGTGAACATATCCCAAAGAAATGCCCAGAGGAGACACAAATAAATTTGGAAAATTAGCCTCCAAATATTAATCATCATCATTCAAATGGTTACTATAAAACAACTAATATTGAAATAAATGGACCCACTCATACAGTGTCATTACAAATAGGAGCTGTGTAGTAAATGAACAATGCACTGAGATGTCATCTTTGGTGCATGCTACATAGGGATAGTCCTAAATTTCAAACTCTAGATACAGCCCAAGACAATTAATAAACTTTACTTAAGGTAAGCAGATCAGTATAATGGCAGAAATATACAGCCCCAATAAAACAAATAAATGCTTTTCAACAAGTATTTAAGTCTACAGACACATAAGGAATAACATAAATAATATAATAATCTCTTGCCTACTAAATATTAAGAGACTGAAAGTGCCATAACCGTCAGTTCCTTAACTCAGGGACTGACATCAGATGTGACTTCTGTACATTTGAGATCCAGAGATTCTCAACGTGCATTTTATGGCATCATTTTAAAATGCCCTGTGATAAGAGACTTAATGGTGGGCAGCAGCATTTATGAAAGCGATCATGAACTGACCACATCCAGGGTGAAATCCTTTCACTAAGAATGTACGGAAACATCTCATTTCAGTCATACCTGGAAAAGACGAAAAGCAAAAACTTTTCCTTACCTCTAACTTTTAACCTGCCTTTAAGAAAAAAAAAATACTCAGAATTCATTTAGCAGCCTATTTTGGACAAGTTCTCCAGAAAGACGATTTGTAAAACAAACCGATTAATAGAAATTCACCGATTCAGAGACTAAGAGTTCTTTCCAGAGAGAGATGGAGACAGATTTAGAGATCCAGAAACAAAATCCATATAAAACAAGACCAAAATAAGGAATGAAAAATAGACTTTCTTGAGCTTCCAATTTTATACTGGTAAGTCCCAAACTCAGTTCCAATGATTAAAGCCCCCACATTTTCCTCTCAGAAGCTAAGATCACATGTATGCGGCCATCAGTGGACTTTCTACAGAAGAGTTGTTCCCTAGGTTGTTTAAAGATGGAGTAAGGTTCTAACCTGTTTAGCCACCTATCAACCAGAATATATTAAAAGATACATGAAACACTTCAAACAAATCAGCAGGTTCAACTTATTGTTTTTGTTGTTATGGGCACTTGCATTTGCCAGAGACAGAGAGAGAGAGAGAGAGAGGGAAAGTGAGAGAGCACCTCCTAGGGAGGATGGCCGCACCGCAGTACCTTCTCCATTCTCCTCTTGGGATTTGGGCCACGCGCGCACACACACACCTGCTGGTTTTCCAAGTCTCTGGTTGTGGAAGTCAGCTGTGTATTCAGCCACATGGGAATCCACTGGCCTTAACTACTACCCACTGGCTGGCCCCAGGTTCATCTTTTCAATTTAAATGCTTTTGAGAAACAAAACAGTTGGGGCCAAGCCTTTGCATACCAAGCAACTGAGAGGCAATTCTTACTAGACTCTAAAAATATTTTTGCTCTGAGATTTGCTAAAATTAAGATACTGAACTACTAGGACTAGCAGATGGCATGGTTATGTTGCTAAACTCTCACGTAATCGACCATGGTTTGAGTCCCGGACATGGCAGCTTGAAACTCATGCCAGGTGAGTGTGCATGTATGCCCAAAATCCCAAGAGGAAATTGGAGAAGAGGGGATTGTGGTTTGGCCATCCTCCCAGGGAGTGATTTCTTGTTTTCTATCTCTCTCTCCAGCAAGCACATGTGTCTATAGCAAAAAATCTCAAAAAAAAAAAAAAGGCATATGAATAAATAAATACCCTTGAACTACTTAAGAAAAAGCTGGACTTCTTCTCTTCAAAGAGACTTATTTGGGGACCAGCAGATGGTATAATGGTTACATCACTAGACTCCCAAATAGTTGATCACAGTTTGAGTCCCAGACCTGGCGACTTACACTCACGCAGGCACATGTGTGTACATGCCCAAAATCCCAAGAGGAGAACGGAGGAGAGGGAACTGTGATGTGACCACCTCTTCCCCCCTCCCAGGGGTGATTTCTCGTTTTCGGTGTGTCTCTCCAGAGAGCACTCATGACCTACAGCAATAATCTCTCTAAAAATAAATAAATAAATACATAAATAACAGAGACTTATTTGAAAGAGTATTAAAATTCTAAGAATATATTAATACTAAATTTAAGGAACATATATTGGGGGCCAGCAGATGATGTAGCAGTTACATTGCTGAACTCTTACATGGCCAACCTCAGTTTGAGTACCGGAGCTGGTGGAGACTCATGACAGGTGCATGTGCGTGCACGCTCAAGATCCCAGGAGAAGAATGGAGAAGGGATTGGGATTGCAGCTTGGCCATCCCTCCTAGAGGGGTGATTTATTACTTTCCCCCTTTCTCTGTCTCTGTCTCTCTGTTGGATGCACACACCCTAAGGCAAACAACTCTACAAAAAAAGGGGGGGGGGTCAGCAGGTGGCGTGGTGATTGAGGACCTAAACTCCCACATGGCCAAATGTGGTTCAAGTCCTGGACCTGGTGGCTTGCTTTCTCATCTTCTCTTTCTCTCTTTCTCTGGTCAAATTAAAAAATAACACTAACAAATCAAAATAAATAAATAAATCTCAAAAATATATACTGGAAGTACTTTTTATAAGTTCTTCTTTCATTGATAAATTAAAAGTAAATTCTTAGTGTGAACATCATTTGTGAATAAAATAAATTCTATTTCAACTTAAGACAAGACATAACTTAAGACATATGGAACTTAACCCCAAATAAATCTCTAGAATGATTTTAAGAGTGTATATTTGTAGGCCGTAACATTACCAAAAATGAAATCAGGACCTACACATAGGGGAAACTCCAAACTCAGGCAGAGAAAAAGATATGTAAACTTAGTGGCCCTGAACCAGCCAGTGGTGTGATAGTTAAGGTGGCTGGACTCCACACGGCTGACTGTGTGGTTGAAGTCCCCAGACTAGTGGCTTGAGAAACCCAGAGGGTGCATGTGCATGTGTGCCCAAAATCCCAAAAGGATTATGGAGGATAAGGGACTGCAGTGTGGTCATCCCCCTAGGGATGATTTCTTCTTTTCTCTCTCCCTCTTTCCAGTGAGCACATGTACTCTATAGTAAACTGAAAAAAGAAAAGAAATTATGGCCCTAAAATGTATTTTGAGAAAGAAATAGAAAAATAAAATAGGTAATGGTGAATTACCTCAAATGCTGTAAAAAAAAAAAAAAAAAAAAAAAAAAAAAAACTAAAAACTAAACAAGAAGTCATAATATCTTAGAACTTAGGTGAAGGTGGCACAATCTTCTGTCCTTAAGCATGTGACATGAGTGAAAATCTGGGGAGAGAAGGCTGGGTTTGGGCCTCGGTTCTGGCTTTCTCAGGCTATGTGATTAATTAGATGAGTCTCTGTCTCAATTTCCTTAATTATTGGAAAATCACAAGGAATAAAGTTAATTTATGAAAAAGTCACTTCCAGGGGCCAGCAGGTGGCATGGTGGTTGAGGCCCTGGACTGTGGTTGGAGCCCCGGACTGGGAGCTTGACACTCACGCTGGGTACATGTCCGTGTGTGCCCAATCCCAGGAGGAGAAGAGAAGGGACTACAGCATGGCCAATCCCCTTGAAGGAGGGCTGATTTTTCACCTTCCCTCTTATTCTCTGTCTCTCTGGTGAGCATACACGCCCTATGGCAAAAACCCTTAAAAAAAAAATCACTTGTAAAACTATAACGCAACACAAATAGTGATTCTTCTTAGTTCTTATTTTTGTTTGTTTGTTTGTGTTTTGTTTTGTTTTGTTTTTGGAGAGGTTTTTGCTAGAGGGCAGGTGCGCTCACTAAAAAGACAGAGAAACAGAAAGCGAGAAATCACCCCCCAGGGGGATGGCCACACCACAATCCCTTCTCCTCCATTCTCCTCTCAGGATCTTGGGAACGTATGCACACATGTCCAGCGTGAGTTTAAGCCAACGGGTCCGGGACTCGAACCACAGTCAACTACATGGGAGTCTAGCAACATAGCCATTATGCTAACTGCGGGGCCCAATCCTTATTATTTTTTTTTCTTTTTTTTTTTTTTTTTGAGAGATTTTCACTGTAGGGCGCGTGCACTCGCCAGACAGACAGAGAGAGACAAAGAGACAGAAAGCGAGAAATCACCCCCCAGGGGGGATGGTCACGCCGCAATCCCTTCTCCTCCATTCTCCTCCCGGGATCTTGGGCACGCACGCACACGCGCCCGGCGTGAGTTTTAAGCCACCGGGTCCGGGACACAAACCGCGGTCGACTACGTGGGAGTCCAGCGACATAGCCATTACGCTAACTGCTGGTTCCCCCCAATCCTTATTATTTTTTAAGACAGGGTCTTTCCATGTTGCAATCCACCTGCCTCAACTTCCCCATCTGCAGAGGCTGATATCACAGGCTTGCATCCCAGGCCTGAGCCTTTCAAGCTGAACACAGAATCAAACCAGGGGCTCCCATGAGGTTCCATACTGCAGAGCAGCAGTGGTTATTATTAGAGCTGCAATGAAGAAACTGAAGATTTGAGAGGTCAAATGACTTGCCCAAGATCAGACAGTTGCCTATAAGGAACCTATGTATCTAAACTGTTGTATAACTTTCTTACCAACAGAGTTATAATTTAAAACTATAAATAAGTCTTTCAAGGAACATTTTTTCAGTAATTAGTAAAGTAACATGGTGGCTATTTGTAGATCCTTCACGTTTCTAATCCATTTATTCTTTTGCTACATTATCTTCATGGTATGACCTGCTGATCTATGCATTTCCCAACATCTGAGATTTTTCCAGCATTTACCAGTGGGCTACATTGCTGAATTTGTGAATGTTTTGCTACAAATACAGTGATGACAGACAGTTTAAGTGACTATACTAACCAACAAGTAGAGGAACTGACAGGTGAGATAATACAAG